TAATATTACATGATGTGGTTTCGGGACTGGGAGATTACGGGCTTTGGTCCAAAACCTCCTGGTATTTAAAAAAAAAAAGTTAAATAAAAAAATTAATTGTATAATCCGTCCAATTCTAAAAAAAAATTGTTGATATCTTCATTAGAATTTTATATTTCGGAGTTGATTAAAACTTCTCTATTTTTATAATCATTCTAAAAAAACTTTGGTTAGATCAAGAAGGAGAAGAATTTCTTTAATCTTAAAATGATACTCCCTCCGTTTCGTTTTACTTGTCGTTTTAGAGTTAAAATTTTGTTTCATAATAGTTGTCGTTTTAGGTTTTCGATGCAAATGTTTGATGAAAATTCCAGTTTTATCCCTACTGTTTTAATGTTTCGGCCAATGAATTTTTTTATAAAATATATTAATAAAATATAAAACAGAAAATTTAATGTTTTTCTTAATTTGTGTGAGAAAACCTTAAACGACAACTAAAACGAAACGGAGGGAGTATATGTTTAGAAATAGTTTAGAGAATAAAGAATTTTGAGCCATTTTACAGACTATTTTTTTTTATTCATCATGAAACAAATAATCTATGTTAAAGAACAAAAATTTAGGAACTACTTAGAAGGAAGGACAAATATATAGAATTCGAAAGTCACAAACATTTAAATAGACTACTATTAATACAAAAATTTGTGACGAAAAAATGCAATGAAATATAGTAAAGAGACGTAACTTTAAATGAATAGATGCAACTATAAAGATACAACGGTCAACTGAAAAATACGACTATAATTGAACAAATAGAACTGTCCCAAAAATATAACCGTTAATATTTTAAAGAAAAGATGCGATAAAAGACACAACTTAGAAAATAACCGTCAATATTTTAACGGAAAGTTTCATTAAAAAGACACAAACGAAAAAATAACCGTCAACGAAAAAAGTAACCGTCAATATTTTTTGTGACGGATCTATTAGTTAAACCTGCTCGGTTTAGTCGGTTTACATACGTACCCACTTTGTTTACAAAAGTTTTAGGAGAATTTGATTCGAAGCTTGTATGATAGACAAAAATATATGGCCCAATATACTGAAATAAATAAATGTACTCAAGTTTCAATTTATTCAAAGATTCAACCAAATGTTACAATGCTCACAAAATCTCTAAAGTTTTCAATCAATTACAACAAGTGACTTATACTCATCTCTAGATATAACAGCCTCCATGATCGTTATGGGATCAATCTTTCCATCTTCAATCTTTCCCTCATCAATCTCTCCACCGTGTTTTAAAAACACTTTGATCAAGTTCTTCGAAAACCCACTTAACAAAGCCACTCCTTTCTTGTTTCCAAGCACAGGCGTTGACCTCGAAGCCCTCAGATTCCAAAACACTATCTCCGGCACAGCTTCTCCGTACCCTTTCTCTCTATACTTTCTCACAATCACCTTATAATCTGTTTGCCAAGCATCATCCTCTTCATCATCATCCTCTTCATCAACATCCTCTTCATCATCATCCTCTTCATCATCATCCTCCGAATACGATGGCGTATCCCATCCATCATTACTTGGATACGACGCTTCATCAAACTCCATATCACTGAACACAAACAACGTCTTGATCATCTCTTCCGGCTTCAGCTTGGCTTCTACGGCCACTTTAAGAATCAAATCAAACACTTTCTGAAAATCAGTGTTCATATCCCATTGCATTCTCTTCACGAAACTTGTTTTTGATCTCAAATCGTCTCCTTTCACCAAATGCAGTTCAGGGTCTTTGCTGAATGTTATAAGCTTTCCTTTCCATGGCTCTTCTGATAGCTCAGAGACTAACAAACCAAGCGCGACTGAAACCTCCATTGGCTCACCACTCATAGACCCCGAAACGTCACAGATAGCCATGCAGTTGGTCAAAGAACCTTTCTCTTTAAGGTCATCAACCATTCGTTTCCATTGTAGCTCAGCAACTTGTCCACCGTCTCCACCGTCTAAATTTTTTATTATCTCGTGAGGTAGCACTGCACCGGCGGCTATCTTCGTTTTCCCCGTCTTCGCATCGTTAAGATATTGTTGAAACCTCTCTGCGTCACGGTACAAGAAAATCTCCTTATAGGACGCCATTGCCACTGATGGAACACGATTGTAAGGGAGAAATCGCCAAGCTCTAGCTCCCATGTATACTTCAGGGAGTTGCAGGGTTCTCCGAAGGGGAACAAGAACTTGTTTCCTTAGCCGATCACGAACTCTGTACGCATAGTGAGCTTCTTCCACGCCTTCGTATTCCGGGAATGATTCTTTGGGAAAGATCTTCCTAGCAATACTCTCGCAAAGAAGAGTTGCTTTGTCGAACGAAGAATCAAGCGAGGGACACCATTTAGCCGCTAAAGAGATTTGTTTTGGTTGGCGTGATTTTAAAAACTCAAGGTCTCTCCTTAGCTGATTTGCGAATAGATCAGAGACACGTTCGTGGAGAAACCTATAGTCTGGATCGTTAGTATATCTTGTAAATGCGGCCTTACCCATTGAAACCTTCTTTTGCTTGCGCTCCAAGCTTGCTTTGGCTTTCTCCTCTTGGTCCTTTCTCTTTGCGTTCGCTACCCTCAGAGACCTCGTGGCTGCCGGCCTTTTTAGACCACGCATTCTGCGACCCCTTCCATGACCAAGACCAAAACCACGGCCAACACCACGACCGCGTCTGGAGAATTTGGATCTTCTACGAAGAATTGCTGCGGCTATTGTCTTGTACCATTCCGATTTCTGGATACTGCGGATTTCAGATCCTTGTAGAATCCGGTAAAGAATCTCCGGAAAATCTTTAAAATAGCCAAACTTGGAGATGGACTCGAGGTTACTAGCTAGGGTTTTCGGATGGTGACCATGGAGCCACAACGCCGCCGTGTAAAACCCTTCCTTGTCAGATTTTCCAGTGCCTCGGACTCCACGAAGGTTACAGATAAGCTTGAGAGTGGTTAAGGCATCATGGTCCCAAGCCTCCTGTAGCCGCTGCTCTAGAGATAACTTTGGCGTTGAAGGAACAATGTGAAAGAAGAAGTCGAGGCAGGGGTTGCCTGAGGAGAGGTACGTGGCGGATCCATTCTCGCTGTAGCCCATCGGACGTGAAGATTTATATGGATCAACTTTTCGCGGTCTTACAGGTTTGACAGGTTTGACGTTGACTTTAGTTGATTTCCTGACGTTTGAGACCTTTGGGACGCTGGGACGACAAGTGTTGATGTTTTTGAGGAGAGCGGCGAGGTACGTGGGGGGTCTTTCCTCGGTCTGTCCCGTCGGAGGCGAAGTGTTGACGTTTGAGACCTTTGTCTCCGTGACTGGATTGCTGGGACCAGAAGCTGTGATGGGTTTCGTGAGGGATTTTGGGATGGGTTTTGTGAGGGGAGCGTAAGAGTCTCGGATTTCGGGTGGACCAAGCAACGAAGAAGCCATGGTTATTTAGAAATGAAGAAACAAAAAAGGCACAAGAGACTGTCGAAAAAGAGAAGAGAGTTGCGAATCGGTATTGATAATCAAAGAGCGATATTGATTCTAGGGGCTGCACCTAATATTTATACAAATACGTATTCACCGACTAACCTACCTAAGGTTCTTAAGTTGTTACAAAATATAAGGTAATTTCAACTTAACAAAGATACGCAAATATCGGAGTTAATATGTTCAGATTTTGTTTTTATCTTTATTCAAATAAAACTTTATTCAGTAGCTTGGGGATCAAGTTGAGAAAGACTTAAATTGGTTTATAATAGTCAAGTTTATTGGCCAAAGATCCGTTTTATCCGTGGAGGGAATCGACGATCATTAAAGTCTCATATATAGTATAATTAATGAATGGGAAAATTGGAAATAAATGATAGCTACTTTAAAATTTGTCCATATACACCTTTTTTGTGAGAATGTCAGTTTGGACGATTTTACCCCTATACCCTAATTTAAATATTTTTTAAAAAAAATAATCATAAAAACAGGTAGATATACAAGAGTAGAAGTGATTTAAAGTCAACTTTTTGAGATTTGGTTAAAAAAAAGTTGATATTTTGATAGATAAAGTTTCGTCTAATTTTGTTAGAACTCGTTTTCTAGAGTTCTGTGAAAGTTAGAGTGTGTATTCTACATTTTTGTACATGTTCTACATATTTTAGACTAATTTTCTGTTCTAAAAATTTTAGAAGTCAGAAAATCATATATCGAAAATATTTAGAACATGTATTCTACGCTTTGCTCTATGTTCTAAATCGTTTTGAATAGCCGTTCTACTAATTACTACATCTTCAACCATCATCAGAAATTGTAATCTTCTTTTAGAATGTAAATTCTGCGATACTATAGATTTTGTTTTCTGAAATTTTTAGAATTATCTAAATATAGAAAGTAAATCTTCAGAAAAAGAAACTAAATATTTATTTTAGATTACGTTTCAAATGGATATTAATTATTTAGATTACGATCTACATAATTTAGAAATCATTTTCTACGTTTTTAGAAAAAAGTTAAAACCAAAAACGTTTCTAAACCCTAAGCTAAGCCACCACTTTCGATTTTTTGCTACTCCCTGCGTTTTCATTCGAATTCTCTCTTTTTTCTTCAACGTTTTGTGCCTTATCATCATCTAACTTTCAACTAAAAAAAAAGAATAAACAAGTGTGTGCACATGGAAGACACCACCACATTTTTTATATATATTTTTGATAAGACAAATATTTCCAAAGCATCAAACAAATAAGAAGGCATCATCATAATCAAAAAAAAAAAAAAAAAAAAGTGAAAGGAGTTTTTCTATTTAGTAGAGACCACTTTAACAAGAAGAGGGACACTTGCTTAATCCTACTTAGAGCATCTCCAATGGAGGGAGATGGAAGTTCTCTTATGGAGTTCTCAGATGAAATCTGATAAAAAATAAATAAAAAATGGCTAATTAAGAGAGAATCGTTTCTTTGCAGAGAGTTTTAGGAATCCATGAGAGCCGATGACGTGTCACTATCGGTTGGTTGAAGGGTTTTACGAAAGGAAAAAAAGAATGCCCCCGTGTTTTTCTCTCTTCATCGACTCCCTCTCTTTCTCTCCGATGGCGACGTTACGAAGCACTATTTCAATCTCCGATCAACGCAAAACGCAGACTTCCAATTTTGCCGGCGAAGATGCAGCAGAGGAAGCCGACGGCGAGTAGACCCAGTGGTACCCCATGGTCGTTGACTCTCGTGAGTTTCCAAAATCCTAGCTCTCCTCTGTCTCCAGATCCTCTTTTCTCTTGATTTCTTCTTTGTTCAGGTACTTTCGTTTTCCTTATGTTAGAAACTGAATCTCTTGAATTTCGGATTGATTGGTCTAGAATTCGATTTTGTGATGCATTGCAAAATATTACATCCTCGAGCACTGAATTGATCAATTCATGTTTGGTATATCTTAGAATTGATCAGATAACCATGTAATTAGATCCGGTTTATCTGTTTTGTGATTTAGCTTTGGTTTACTTTGGTTTAGTGTAATTGTATATAAGACCAATTGTAACAACATTTTCTGATTGAGAAAAATAGAAAATCATTTCACAAGTTTTCTTTGTTCATGAATTCTATCATGGTATCAGAGCTTTTCTTCTCCAAAATCTGGTGATTTCACCTCTGTTTATCTTCAGATTCTTCAATTTTTCACCAGAAAATCTCTTTTATCATGTCCGATTGCTATTCCGCAGCTTCGGTTTGGTAGAAAATGGTGAAGAAAGGAGGAAAATTGAGAAACAGAAGTGTAACACCGGAGGATGAAGGATCTGCGGTCAAATCTATTCGTGATTCAGGGATCGATGAAGATCCAAAGCTTGCGAGCATGAAACAACCTTTTTCTCTCAAACCGGAATCGTATGAAGTTCATGGATCTGTATCGAAGGCTTCTGATCCTTTCGAAAATCCGATGTTTCTTCACTCTTCCGATCATCCAGGTTTATCGATTGTAGCTCATGTTCTTGATGGTAGTAACTACAATAGTTGGTCAATAGCGATGAGAATCAGCCTAGATGCGAAAAACAAGCTAGGTTTTATTGATGGATCTCTGCTAAGACCACCTGTTAGTGATTCAAAATTCCGTCTATGGAGCAGATGCAACAATATGGTGAAGTCGTGGATTCTTAATGTCGTGAATAAGGAAATCTATGACAGTATTCTATACTATGAAGATGCTGTTGAGATGTGGATTGATTTGTTTACTCGTTTTAAGGTGAATAATCTACCAAGGAAGTACCAATTGGAACAAGCTGTGATGACTCTTAAGCAGGGACAACTGGATCTCTCCACTTATTTTACGAAGAAGAAGACGTTGTGGGAACAATTGTCTAACACCAAATCTCGTACTGTGAAGAAGTGTGACTGTGATCAAGTAAAAGAACTGCTGGAGGAAGCAGAAACAAGTAAGGTTATACAATTTCTGATGGGTTTGAATGATGATTTTAATAACATTAGGGGTCAAATTCTCAACATGAAGCCTAGACCAAGTCTGAATGAGATCTATAACATGCTAGATCAAGATGAGAGTCAGAGGTTGGTAGGTTTTGTTTCAAAACCAGTCCCTAGTCCTGCAGCGTTTCAGACTCAAGGTGTAATCAGTGATCAGACTCCAATTCTACTAGCTCAGGGAAACTTCAAGAAACCTAAGTGTTCACAGAGCCAGACCACATGTCTAAGGATCACATCCAACAAATGATCTCATACTTAAGTACCCAGCTTCAGTCCCCTAGTATCACTTCATGCCCTGACAAAGCTATAGCCTCGACTTCAAATTCTGTACCTACTATCTCACAGATAACATGTACTTTCCTTTCTCTCTATGATTACACCTATTATGACATGTTGACTTCTTCTGTACCTCATGAAACTGAGCTGTCTTTTAGAGCTTGGGTAGTAGATTCAGGGGCTAGTCATCATGTTACTCATCAAAGAGAAATCTATCTAGAATACAAAACCTTAGATAGAACATATGTTAGACTTCCCAATGGTCAAACAGTCAAAATAGAGGGTACTGGATACATTCAACTTACTGATGCTTTAGCTCTCCACAATGTTTTGTATATTCCTGAGTTCAAATTTAATTTATTGAGTGTTAGTGTAATTACTAAAACATTGCAATCTAAAGTGAGTTTTACATCTGATGAATGTATGATTCAGGCTCTTACCAAGGAATTGATGCTTGGAAAAGGTAGTCAAGTCGGCAATTTATATGTTCTGAATCTGGATAAAACTCTTTTCGACATGTCTTCTTTTCCAGGTACTACTGTTTGTTCTAGTCTTAAGATTGATGCTGACATGTGGCACAAAAGATTAGGTCACCCTTCTTTTGCTAAGATAGATACTCTTTCTGATGTTTTGTTGTTACCAAAGCAAAAGATTAATAATAAAATCACACATTGTCACATTTGCCATTTATCTAAACAGAAGCATTTACCTTTTAAATCTTTGAATCATATGCGTGAAAAAGCCTTTGAATTGGTTCATATAGATACTTGGGGTCCATTTTCTGTTCCTACTGTAGATGGTTATAGGTATTTCTTGACAATTGTTGATGATTTTAGTCGTGCTACTTGGTTATATATGCTTAAACAAAAGTCTGATGTGTTAACTGTTTTTCCGGGTTTTCTTAAAATGGTTGAAACTCAGTATAATGCTAAAGTTTGTTCAGTTAGGTCTGATAATGCTCATGAATTGAAGTTTAATGCATTGTTTTTCAAAGAAGGTATTAAATCTTATCACTCATGCCCTGAAACTCCTGAACAAAATTCTGTGGTAGAGAGAAAGCATCAGCACCTGTTGAATGTAGCTAGGGCTCTTATGTTTCAGTCTGGGGTTCCATTAGAGTATTGGGGTGAATGTGTTTTGACAGCAGTGTTTCTTATTAATAGGTTACCATCCCCTGTCATTGATAATAAAACTCCTTATGAAAGACTCACAAATGAAACACCAGATTACTCATCCCTTAAGGCTTTTGGTTGCTTATGTTACTGTTCTACTTCACCTAAATCTATAACTAAGTTTGATCCTAGAGCTAAGGCTTGCATTTTTATAGGATATCCTATGGGTTATAAAGGTTACAAGCTATTAGATATAGAGACATACTCAGTTTCTATTTCTAGACATGTTATATTCTATGAGGATATTTTTCCTTTTGCATCATCTACTATCCCAGATGATACAAAGCATTTCTTTCCTCATATTTCTCTTCCTGCACCAAACACTGATGGACATATGCCTCTAGTGCAACCATCTTCTGATGCTCCTCAACATTCTGATGAGTCATCCTCTTTGATTTCTGTTCCTTCTGAACTTAAATCTACTAGGCAGAGAAAACTGCCTTCCCATTTGCAGGACTTTCATTGCTATAATAATACTCCTACTATTACTAAGACTCCCACTAAAACATCTCCTTATCCTTTAGCAAATTATATTTCTTATTCATACTTATCTGAGCCTTTTAATGCTTTTATTAATATTATCACCACTACAAAATTACCACAAAAATATTCAGAGGCTCGGCTTGACAAACAATGGAATGATGCTATGGGAAAGGAAATTGGTGCTTTTGTGAGAACAGGTACTTGGAGTATATGTGATCTACCTGCTGGGAAAGTTGCAGTGGGTTGCAAATGGTTATTTACCATAAAATTTTTAGCTGATGGAAGCATTGAAAGGTATAAAGCACGTCTGGTGGCTAAAGGATATACTCAGCAAGAGGGTATAGATTTTATAGACACATTCTCACCTGTTGCCAAGATGGCGACTGTGAAATTACTTCTATCCCTCGCACCTAAGATGCGATGGTTTTTAAACCAATTAGATTTTCTAATGCTTTCTTAAATGGTGACCTTGCTGAGGAAATATACATGAAATTACCACCAGGATATGCAGAGATTCAAGGTGAAGAAGTCTCTCTTAATGCCGTGTGTAGACTGCACAAGTCTATTTATGGGCTAAAGCAAGCTTCCAGGCAATGGTTTATTAAATTTTCTACTACATTGGTTGGTTTGGGGTTTGAGAAATGTCATGGTGATCACACCTTGTTTGTGAAGTTCAGTAATGGCAATTATTTGGTGGTCTTAGTATATGTGGATGATATTCTCATTGCCAGTACTACTGAGGCTGCAGCATCTGAGCTTACACAACAACTGCGTGGTTATTTTCAACTCAGAGACTTAGGAGAACCAAAATTTTTTCTTGGTATTGAGATCGCCAGGACTGCAGAGGGAATTTCTTTATGTCAGAGGAAATATGTACTTGACTTGTTGGCATCTTCTGGATTTTCAGATTGCAAGCCCTCTTCCATTCCTATGGAGCCAAATCAGAAATTCTCTGAAGCTGAAGGTGATACTATTGAAAATATCAAGCAGTATCGCAGATTGATTGGTAAATTGTAGTATCTTACCATCACTAGACCTGATATCACTTTCACTGTCTCAAAGTTGGCTCAGTATTCAAGTGCTCCTAAGCTGATTCACTTGCAGGCATTCATAAAGTTTTGAGGTATTTGAAAGGTACTATTGGTCAAGGAATATTTTATGGTACAGATGCAGATTTTACACTTCGAGGGTTTTCAGATTCTGATTGGGGTACATGTCGTGATTCCAGAAGATCAGTTACTGGTTTTGCAGTGTTCCTTGGTAATTCTTTAGTCTCCTGGAGATCCAAGAAGCAAGATATTGTTTCCATGAGCTCTGCTGAAGCAGAATACAGAGCCATGTCGGTTATTACTAAAGAATTGATATGGTTAAGTGCTCTTCTAAAGGCTTTGAAGGTTCCTTTTACTCTCCCTGCTTACTTGTATTGTGACAACACTGCAGCTCTTCACATTGCTAACAATTCAGTGTTTCATGAACGTACGAAACACATTGAATTTGATTGCCACAAAGTCAGGGAATGCATTGAATTAGGGATCCTCAAGACCATGTATGTTCGCACAGACAATCAACTTGCAGATGTCCTGACCAAAGCTCTTTATCCAGCTCCTTTTCGGGAAAACATGTCCAAGATGGGAGTTCTTAATATATATGCACCTCCATCTTGAGGGGGGCTCTTAGAATTGATCAGATAACCATGTAATTAGATCCGATTTATCTGTTTTGTGATTTAGCTTTGGTTTACTTTGGTTTAGTGTAATTGTATATAAGACCAATTGTAACAACATTTTCTGATTGAGAAAAATAGAAAATCATTTCACAAGTTTTCTTTGTTCATGAATTCTATCAGTATATCACTCTTAAAGTTTTAGAAGTAGGTTATGTGATCAAGTTCTCACAATTGCAATATCAGATTTGTTGCTTTGTTGTCATTGAGATTGTAGTGTTCTTAAAGTTGTGTAGCATTAGTTTAAATAGTTTGATAATGTCTGGGAGATGTATCTCCTTTTAGCATAAATTTTTCAGGTTTTTGCTTGAAGGTGGTGATTTATTTAATTGGACTATTGTGTGCGTTTCTGACTGCGTCCTGGGGAGACCATAACCTGAAAATTCATTTGATCTGCAGTAGAACATAATGTTTTAAGTATGGCTTCACTTTCGAATGCTCATGATTTTGTCTCTTCACATGTTTGCTTATCTTTATAATGAAGCTCGTCTGACACATTTAGGTGATAGTAGTGCCATCCTCTCATCAATAAAACAAGCAAAAATGATTTGTTGTTGAAGGGTTTTTAGCTTTGGGTAACACCATGTATGCTTTTTTATGGATTTTTGAAGTTGGAGAAGAAATGTTTAAACACTAACAATGATATTCTTCAACAATGATTGTTCGTTGTTACGTTATCAGCTCAAAATGGATGTTGGCCGTGCTGCTTCAAGAAGCGATTTGTCGACAGTGCGGGACGCACTTGAAGTTTCTGCAGAAATGTTCAAGAAAGATGCCAATAATGTTTCAGACTATGTTCAGCGTCATCTCATCTCCATATCCATCTGGGAGGAGTTGAGGTATGCAATTCAACATGCTGCCAGCTCTATGAATTTTACTATTTTTTTGGTGATGCTCAGAAAATAGATTATTTGACATATTATGAATTTTTTTGACAGATTCTGGGAGGGTTACTTCGAGTATCTCATGGAGCAGCCTGCAAATGAGTGAGTCTTCTTAAGATCTTGTATTCATTGATAATGTCAATTGTTTGTTCGTATGCATGCTCCTTATCACTGGCACAATGAGACCTGTATTTAACAAATAAGCTGGTGAAACCAACTGTAGATATGAAATCTTATGGTGGAAATAAAAATTGATCTGTAGCATACTTGATATATTGGCTCTAGCAAGGAGCTCTTTATAATGATTTCCAGTTTTCCTTTTTGTTGCTCAAATTAGATCGTTGGAAGAAAATTTTGGAGAAAACAAAAAGTTTGATTAGGAATTTACTTTTTCAATGTTATAGATCTCCAGTCTTTAAATGTCTGTAATGCTCATAGATTGTAAGTAGTTTCCATTACTAATTCGTGTAACCCTTTATTATACCCCCTCAGATCAGTGAACTATGCTACGTTGGTCACAGCCAGGCTAATCATAGTGGCATCACATATGGTGAATTTCATGTTTTGAGAGTTGACTTATTCTGTACCTTCATTTCTTGATATATGATAGTTAATATGTCTTCACATTATCTAATGCTCTTGCGAAGGCTGGCTTGGGACTTCCTGATACAGAAGCTTGGAACATGATTGAGACAATAGCAGAGAAACAAAAACTTGGATACAAATTACTGGTAATTAGGCTTTCTGTTTATTAATTCCGTCGCAAGAAATTGTTAAACCAAGGATTTTTTTTTTGCAAATTTATTTTCAAATGTATGAAATTATTGTATGTTTAATATGTTATGAATTGTAATATTTTTCAGTTTTATGAAATAAAATAATTAAAAAAATAATTTAATTTTTTCTTGAGAACCCCACAAAGAGAGCTTACCATTGGACTTTGCAAAACAAAAAAAAATTAACAAAAACTCTCATCTTATAAATTTGAAAATTTTATTCTTAAAATAATCGTGAGAGCCAATGGAGGACTCTCACCATTGAAGATGCTCTTACTAGTCTCCTTAGCTCTTTAGTAGCCCTTTGGTTTCATTGTCGCAACGTGTTGTTCACATAGAGTATGAGGAATACTATCATGTTCAAGTCAACCTATATGATTCAACACAAACCAATGTTCTTTAGAGATACTAGCGATCAAAACAATTGATTGTTTATTATGTCAAAACGAGAATGAAAAAGCTTACATTGTCGAAGAGATTAATCTTGCACCTGAGAGAGGTCAATTAAAAAATCGGAAGCTCAAATTGATATCTAAGAAGATTGAACATTTGAACAACATAATCCCTTTTAGATTTCTATTTAATTTTTGTAAATAGATTAGGAAATTTTATTTTTTAAATTAATTTTGAATTAATTTTGAGAGAATATGAGGGTAAAGTTGGATTTTGATTTTTAAAAACCTTATTTGACCAATCTACAAGAAGATGGATGTTGGTGTCGGATCCCGCACCAGAAGTACGAGACCAACCAAAGATTGCCACGTAGTCAAGCGGGTGGCCCATGAAGGATGAAGCCCATTGGGCCCGTGAACCGAGGGGACGGTCGAAGTGGTTGTCATCACTTCGAGAATCCGAAGTGACTGCACTGTGATACGAGTTCGGTGTAGAAGATGCGGGTAAGTCGGTTCAAGGACACTTGGGCCGAAAAGGCGAGGCCCATGAAGATCAGAGTCAACTCAAATTCAAACGTTGAGCATTAAAGTCGAAGAATCAAAACGGACACATTTAAGAGGGAATAACTGTACTTAATTATCCATTTTAATGTCGCTTGTCTATGTATAAATATAGAGGCCAATGGCCATGTAAAGAGGACCTTCCTCTCAAAAGAGAAATACTATAGCAATTTTCGTATCAATTTACAAGTTTTTATACGTTCATTTTTGTCCCTCAAGAATAATCTTCCCTTTTTTAATAAAATACTTGAGTGTGTGAATCCGACATCCACATTTTGGCGCCGTCTGTGGGGATATCAGGATTCTTGAGTGGTCAGATTTCTTCTTTTCTACATTTCCGAGATAAGCGACAATGTCCGGAGGAGACGCCGTTGAGACATCATTGGCCGAAACCCTCAAAGCTATGCAGCAAACCATGTCGGACATATCACAAAAATTCTCGGATGTGGAAAAGGCCGTCGATACGTTGTAAACATCCCAGGTATCTCTTAGTCAAAACGTCAATTCTATACAAACTCGTGTTCGCTCTTTAAGTGCAGGAAACCCGGTGGGAATCCGAAGAGGGATATTCAACTCGCCAAGTTCCGCTGCACGAAATGAAATCAGCGGACAAACAACTCCCGGTGCTACTAATAATGTAGCTCAGACGTCGGAAGAAGAGACGCAACTCGGGGATGAAGAACAACTTGCAGCTCAGTATGAGCAGGAGAACCTCGACCAGTTCGAGACCATGAGGAAGGTTAGCCAGGAATTAAAAGAAATGAAATCAAAATTTCATCAGGCTACAAGTTCAGAGCCAGACATCAATCGAGTCATTGAAGAAGCTAGGCGAACCCCTTTTATCCCGCGAATTGCAAGCTTGAGGATCAAAGATTCCCGGAAGCTCAAGTTGGACCCTTACAGCGGATTGGAGGATCCAAAAAGCTATCTTGCAGCCTTTCTGATCGCTGCAGGAAGAGTCGAATTGGCTGAAGCTGATGAGGACGCAGGCTATTGCAAGCTGTTTTCGGAGAATCTGTGTGGCCAAGCTCTAATGTGGTTCACCCAATTAGAGCCGGGTTCGATCAGCAATTTCGACGAACTGTCAGCCGTGTTCTTAAAGCAATACTCTATCCTTATGGATAAAAGCGTTTCGGATGCCGATCTTTGGAACTTAACGCAAGGATCCAATGAGTCACTTCGAGTTTTCATCACCAAATTCAAAGGAGTGCTATCAAAACTCCCAAGAATCTCACAACAATCAGCTTTATCTGCCCTACGAAAAGGATTGCGACATGATTCAAGGTTTAAAGAAGACTTAATACTTCATAAACCAGACACAATTCAGGATGCACTCTTCCGCGCAAACAATTGGATGGAGGTAGAAGACGAAAAAGAAAGTTTTGCCAAACGGAATAAACAAGAAAAGCCGGCAGTCACCGTCCCTACCAAGAAGTTCGAGCCTAGAGAGAGCAAAGGACCAAGGAAGTTTGGGTCGCAACCCTTCAACAATTCCGTCGGGAAGCAATTCCAAGGGAAAGGAAGATCAAACACTTGGGTCCGTGATGAAAGTCTATATTGCGACATTCATAAAGTAACCGGACATTTAACCAAGGATTGCAGCGTTCTTAAAAAGCACCTCGCAGAGCTTTGGGCTAGTGGCGATCTTTCTAAATTCGATATAAAAGGTTTTGTGAAGGAATACCACGAAGCAAAAGAAAACTCCAAAGATCAAGATTCCAAAAGACCAAGGTTATCCAACGAGGAAGAACCAAGGAGTTCCAAGGGTAAGATCAATGTGATTCTAGGAGGTTCCAGATTTTGCGGAGATTCAGTAAGTTCCATCAAAAAGCATAGACGAAATGTCTTGCTCAAAGCAAGCTTGAGCGAAGAGGTTGATTTTCAAGGTGCTTCAATATCATTTAACGAAGAAGAAACGCGGCATCTCGAAAGACCGCATGATGATGCTCTAGTCATTACTCTTGATGTTGCTAACTTCGAAGTATCGAGGATCCTTGTAGATACAGGCAGTTCGGTCGACTTGATCTTTTTAAGTACTCTAGAAAGAATGGGAATCAGCCGAGCAGACATAGTGGGGCCTCCGTCTCCATTAGTAGCATTCACAAGCGAGTCAGCCATGTCTCTCGGAACAATCAAGCTACCGGTCCTTGCCAAGAAGGTATCAAAGATCGTGGACTTCGTTGTCTTCGATAAGCCTGCAGCTTACAACATCATCCTCGGGACTCCCTAGATTTATCGGATGAAAGCAGTCCCCTCTACATACCATCAATGTATCAAATTTCCAACATCAAATGGGGTGGAAACAATTCGGGGAGATCAAGAAGCTTCACGGACGTGTTACTTAGCTAGCCACCGCTTGAAGATTCAATAGCAATTAACGAAGCCTGCAAAAGAGGGACTAAGAACAAAATTTCCTAGCGGGCAGAAGAAAGAGGATGTAGTAGTCGAAGTGGTACTGGAAGAAGACAAGCCGGATCGGAAAATTAGAATTGGAGCAACTTTGACTGGCCAAATAAAAGAAGCTTTGATCGAACTCTTAAGGAAAAACAAAGCATCATTTGCATGGTCAGCAGCGGACATGCCGGGCATAAATCCGAGTATAATTTGTCATGAACTAAACGTAGATCCAAGCTTCAAACCGGTGAAACAAAAAAGAAGAAAGCTTGGAGTGGAACGGGCAAAAATAGTAAACGACGAAGTGGATAAACTCTTGAAGATAGGGTCCATAAGAGAAGTGCAATATCCGGAGTGGGTAGCAAACACTGTCGTTGTCAAGAAAAAGAACGGGAAAGATAGGGTTTGCATCGATTTTACGGACCTGAATAAAGCATGTCCTAAAGATAGTTTCCCGCTCCCGCATATAGATCGACTTGTAGAGTCCACCGCCGGAAATGAGCTGTTAACGTTCATGGACGCCTTCTCGGGTTATAATCAGATAATGATGAACCCCGAAGATCAAGAGAAGACGTCATTTATCACAGATAGAGGTATCTACTGTTACAAGGTAATGCCTTTTGGTTTGAAAAATGCAGGAGCAACTTACCAACGATTGGTGAACAAAATGTTTCACAATCACCTCGGGAAGACTATGGAAGTCTACATAGATGATATGTTGGTTAAATCATTGAAGAAAGAAGATCATGTTAAACATTTGGAGGAATGTTTTGATATTCTCAATAAATATCAAATGAAGCTGAACCCGGCGAAGTGCACATTTGGAGTCCCATCCGGAGAATTTCTTGGCTATATCGTGACGGAAAGAGGGATTGAAGCCAATCCAAATCAAATTGACGCCTTTCTGAACATGCCATCTCCAAGAAACTTCAAAGAAGTACAACGGTTGACTGGGCGGATTGCGGCTTTGAACCGTTTTATCTCGAGGTCAACAGATAAGTCGTTGCCTTTCTACCAAATTCTAAAGGGGAACAAAGGATTCCTTTGGGATGAGAAGTGTGAAGAAGCTTTTGGGCAGCTTAAGGCATACTTAACCACTCCACCTGTACTGTCCAAACCGGAAGTAGATGAAAAACTTTACTTGTACGTATCAGTGTCAAACCACGCGGTTAGTGGAGTCTTGGTTCGGGAAGACCGTGGGGAGCAGAAACCAATTTACTACGTGAGCAAATCAATGACGGATCCGGAAACCAGATACACAATGATGGAAAAACTCGCACTCGCGGTGGTAACTTCGGCTCGGAAGCTGCGTCCATATTTTCAATCCCATCCGGTTGAAGTATTAACTAACCAACCACTCCGAACAATACTTCATAGTCCAAGTCAGTCCGGACGTTTGGCGAAATGGGCGGTGGAGTTAAGCGAGTACGACATAGAGTTCAAAAGCCGGATCAGTATGAAGGCTCAGGTCTTAGCAGACTTCCTGACCGAACTACCAATACCTGGAACGATAGAGCAACCGGAGAACCAAACTTGGAAATTACACGTAGACGGGTCTTCAACAAAACAAGGATCCGGAGTGGGAATCAAGTTGGAATCTCCAACATCGGAAATTCTAGAACAGTCATTCCGATTGTTATTCAACGCCTCTAACAACGAGGCAGAATACGAAGCCCTTATTGCCGGACTTCGACTGG